TCTCTAGCCACCACGTTACTAGTTGCCACCATTCAGGCACTGATACTGATCGGATGGCTAAGGGTACACTTTCATATAGGTCCGAGCTGTCTTTACCACTCTCCAGGCAATAAGAACTTCTATAGAGAACATAGTGTTCCCTAGGTGGTACTATAATAACCTTCGTGTATGCTCATAGAGAAATATTATAAATGGAGGCACACTTAAACACAATGATAAAAGTGTGAATTTACTGATGCAAATTACATGATCACACGTACAATCACAAGTAATACATGAATATGAAAATAAGGATAATAAGTCTGGAGATCGTCAGCCTCTTCTTCCACGACCTCCAACACTCCTTCAACTGGGCAGAAAGACAGGAGTCCCACACTCTCTCACAGGAGGGCCTCTTCACCACGTCGGCGCCTCCTCTTCACTGTCCTGCCATCCATTCACACTGTCCCCTCTGACAGTCCTGGACACAAGCTGCCTTGCAGCCTATTCTACTACTAAAGTATTAATGTCCTATTACCACATACATAAGTAAATATTGTGGCCTAACTAGCCTACTCACACAAGGGGTAATGGGAGGGAAAATGATCTACCTTACATTCCTGGCTCACAACGCCTGTCCCTCGATGGTGTGAGGTTCCCACGCTTCCTGAGTCGATCCTTGACGATCCAGGAACGTTCCACAGGTCCTCAGGTGTCGTGGAGCCTTCGCGTCGTCGCCGTTCCAATCCCTGAGATTCAGCTACCCCAATCCTGGTTAATCGATAGGCGCTGAGCTAATCACTATTTTCCCACACTCGCCCCTTCCACAAGGCGTTGCTCCTTGTCCTAGGAACGGTGTTGTCCCTCCAAAACCCTCAGTGGATGTGACCCGGTCACAGCTAGGCCTGCCCGCCACACCTTTCCAGGCCCCCAACGTCCAGCGTCGCCGCCCAGCGTCGTCGCCGAATTTTTTCCAAGTTTGGCACTCTTTTGCTCAATAAACTTGGTTCCTTTTTGCTTCCCAGAAGTGTGGGGTCTCCAATACATAAGATGGGCTGCAATAGCCAGCTCTAATCCACTAAGAAATGCTTGTAGAGCCTCAAATCCTTGAGAGCTGACCGAGGTGCGTCCTCTCGCCTTCACGGTCAGGTCAACTCTGACGTTGGCGCCGCCCGGGCACTCGGTGACGTCATGGAGGGCCCTGATTGGTCGCCCGCGATCTAAGTCGGCCAATCCGCGATCGGCTAGTGTCCCTTCCAAAACGTCATATCTGCATTGGGGGATACTCTTTCATTTTATATCAGGGCGCCAATTTCCCCTTACTTACAACTTACAATGTAACTTTCTCCCTTAACTGGCAGCCGGTCTGGTCGCCACATATATCAATAGTCTCCCTGAACCTCAGAGAATCAGTAGGGAGAGCTGATATGACTCTTAAAGCAGGCAAACGAAAGAAATAGGAGAGGGCACCTTAACAGTAGCCAAATTTTAACCTAATTTCTTACATATTTCATGTCATATTTCAGATATAGTAAATAAAAGTCAGTTACCGAGTTCTCCTCCTTAGTTTATTCCTGTAGATTCCATACTAACAATTCAATTCCCCAGAAATTTAAAACTACTGTATTTCAGACGAAGCAAATAAAACCAAGGCAGTTACCAAGTTTCAGCTCTTGTCCCCCATCTTAGTTCATTCGTACAACTCCGCTATTATCTGATCAATTTCCTCGAGTTTTAAAACTGTTATTTCAAATACAGGAAATCAGGTCAAGACAGTAACCAAGCTCCAGCTCTTGTCCCCATCTTATTATACTCAATTAACTTCGTTAGAATCTATAAAATACTTTTAAAATTTAAAACCACTGTATTTCGGACGCAATACATCAGACAAAGACAGTAACTCAGCTCCAGCTTTTGACCCCGCACAACTTTGTTAATATCTACCTAATTTCCCGGAAATTTAAATCCGCTGTATTTCGGACACAGTACATAAGGTCAAGATAGTTATCAAGTTTCAGCTCTTATCCTCTACTTTAGTTTGTTCATACAACTTCATTAATAATGGGTCAAATCCCCTGAAAATTAAAACCGCTGTTTCATACGTAGTAAAATAGATCAAAGCAATTACCGTGCTCCAACTCTTGTCCTCCACCTTAGTTCGATCTCATAAGTTCAAACCCCAACGAAAATTTAAAACCGCTATAATTCTGACACAGTAAATAAGATCATGATAGTTATCAAGCGCCAACTCCTGTCCTCCGCCTCAGTTAAATGTTCATCAAACTTAGTTATTTCAGAACATCAGACCCACTTCCTCCTTACCACCTTATCATAGTAAACCTATCCTCTCCTTCAATACACTTGTTTACTCAGCTATGTAAATAATCACTTACCAGGTAATTATCACACGGCCATAATCACCTTATCTCTCGCTCCATGCCCCTTCACCTGTCTGCTGACTTATCTCCCTCTTACCTCAGCTCCCCCTCCCCGCTCACTCCAATATCTTCCACCTTCCACACCACCTATCCACCTCTTTCACCCCTATCCCCGTCCTCTCTCTCTCTGATCTCCCTCATCCCTTACCTGCCCCACTCCCTGCACCCATATCTTTCCCTCCCTCACCCCCTACTATCCCGTATCTCACCCATTCACCAACTCCCCCTTCCCCAGATTCATTCACAATTCTGCACCCCCTAGAATTTTAAATGTAGCTATTACCAATAATCTTACCATATATGTACATTCTCCCCCATGTTCCTAAAATATCCACCCAAATGTCTATTCCATATTTTCACTTGCTTCTCCATGCTCTCCATGTTCTCTTACATTTTCTCTGTTTGTTTCTTAAACTATCTATATCGGCCATTCTGTAACTAGTTCTTTCTTATGTATTATCAACAGCATTACTGTCCCCCAGAAAATTTAGTTACATTTCTATTAGTTATTTACAAAGTATTTATTTAGGTATTACCGATGTTTATTTACAATCAACTGTGTCATTGAATTTCTTTATCAACTTTTTCTTTCCATACTGTTCTTAAGTAGTATTACCCTATATACAATAACAAATATACCAAGACATTCTTTTCAGGTCGTTTCCTAACTATAATTATTCGTCAATCAACTGAATATAGTCACCGTCATCATCTTTTTCTCTTTTCTTAACTAAAACAGCACTTCTCTCAACTGAAAAATAGTAATTTTCATTATCTTTTAACACTTCTTAACTACCATTTTGCATCGAAGAGTGAGAGAAATAGTCAAAGGTAATTTCTTCATAATATTTCCTAACTAAAGTTACTCTCCAAGTCATCTTTGCGCATCAGATTATACTCTCAGGTCGTCTTTATTCTCCAATACCATGCTCAAAAACATCAAATTACTACTCATGCCATCAAAAGTTATTTTCAGAAACATTAAAAGTTATTCTCAAGAGTCATCAAGTTAATCTCTAAATCACCTTCGTTCATCAACGAAACTTTAAAGACATCTTCGTGCATCAAAGAAACATACTAAAATATCTTTGTGCATTAATGAAACATTCTAAGACATCTTTGTGCAATAAAGAACATTCTAAGACAACTTCATGCATTAAAGAATCTATCCAAGACATCTTCACGCATTAAAAGACGCACTCAAAGTCATCAAGATCACTATTCATGCATTAAAATACTCCCTCTCTGTAATGTATTTACTTAAGAAGGGAGTATTAAAATACTCCCTCTCTGTAATGTATTTACTCCGATCATTTTCACGCATTTAAAGAATCTCTTTTTGACTGCAGTAATACGTTCCACGGTCATTTTAATTAGCATTTTTCATTCTTAACGCATCTTTATATAAAAGAATTACTCTCTAGAACATCTTAATACATCAAGTAATGCTCTCACTGTAACAAACACGGTTCTTCATTCAATAAATAAATAGTAATTACATATTTTTTCGTATTTTAAACGTATCGTTACTTTTACATAGTACTGAAACTTTCTAAAAACAAGTCATAATGTAATCGCAAACAACTTTAAGTACTATTTCAAAATAAACATGTACAACTTTTCGTACTAATAATCTTATGCATCATATAAAAATGAGTTAAACTTTCTATCAACTTAATACAAAGGTACTAAGCCCAACGTGTTCTCCGCATTTTACTATGCTTCACATCTCTTTTCATAATAACTCTTTCACAAAAACACGATTCTTTAGGTAACGAGTTCAACTTTTCATATTAAACTTTTCATATTTCTGTTATTAATTATACTGTTAAAATATATTTTCCTAGCCACTTTACCTTAAACTGTTCTTTGATCAACAATTCATTATCCTACCTAACCTGACTTACCTGTACTAGCTTAACCTAATGTAACTTACCTATCCTCATGTGCCTATTCTTTCCTACATAATGAAACTTACATATCTTGATAACTTAGCTGACATAACCTGACCTGACCTGACCTGACATAACTTACTAACTTAACTTACATAATATACCATAACTTATCTACCCTCACCTAAATAACCTCCCCCGCCTAATGTAACTTATCTACCCCAACCAAACTTACCCATACTTATTTAACCTGATCAATCTGAGTTAACCTATCCTAATGTAACTTACCTAGCCCAACTCACCTATTACCTCTATCTGAGGTAACTTACCCATCCTGACATGACCTAACTTACTTAATTTCACTTACTTAGCCTGTCCTGTATTAACTTACATAACTTACTAATTTAACTTTACATAATATAACTTACCTAAACTACCCCTACCTGATATAACGTATCTATATTACCCTACCTGACATAACTTACCTAAACTACCCTTCCTGACATAACTTATCTAAACTACCCTACCTGACATAACTTACCTAAACTACCCTACCTGACATAACTTACCTACCCTTACATAGGCAAGGGTAGGTAAGGGTAGGAGCCATATGAATGACGTCATGAGGCTCACTGGCCACCGGATTGGCGATACACCAACTGACATAGAATTTTAAGGCTAACAGGACGACATGGTAACAAGTCCTACCATGACTGACCGTGAGAGGGAGGGCATGGTAACAAGTCCTACCATGACTGGCCGTGAGAGGGAGGACATGGTAACAAGTCCTACCATGACTGGCTGTGAGAGGGATGACATGGTAACAAGTCCTACCATGACTGGCCGTGAGAGGGAGGACATGGTAGCAAGTCCTACCATGACTGGCTGTGAGAGGGATGACATGGTAGCAAGTCCTACCATGACTGGCCGTGAGAGGGAAGACATGGTAGCAAGTCCTACCATGACTGGCCGTGAGAGGGAGGACATGGTAGCAAGTCCTACCATGACTGGCTGTGAGAGGGATGACATGGTAGCAAGTCCTACCATGACTGGCCGTGAGAGGGAAGACATGGTAGCAAGTCCTACCATGACTGGCCGTGAGAGGGAAGACATGGTAGCAAGTCCTACCATGACTGGCCGTGAGAGGGAGGACATGGTAGCAAGTCCTACCATGACTGGCTGTGAGAGGGATGACATGGTAGCAAGTCCTACCATGACTGGCCGTGAGAGGGAAGACATGGTAGCAAGTCCTACCATGACTGGCCGTGAGAGGGAGGACATGGTAGCAAGTCCTACCATGACTGGCCGTGAGAGGGAGGACATGGTAGCAAGTCCTACCATGACTGGCTGTGAGAGGGATGACATGGTAGCAAGTCCTACCAGGACTGGCCGTGAGAGGGAAGACATGGTAGCAAGTCCTACCATGACTGGCAGTGAGAGGGAAGACATGGTAGCAAGTCCTACCATGACTGGCCGTGAGAGGGAAGACATGGTAGCAAGTCCTACCATGACTGGCCGTGAGAGGGAAGACATGGTAGCAAGTCCTACCATGACTGGCCGTGAGAGGGAAGACATGGTAGCAAGTCCTACCATGACTGGCCGTGAGAGGGAAGACATGGTAGCAAGTCCTACCATGACTGGCCGTGAGAGGGAAGACATGGTAGCAAGTCCTACCATGACTGGCCGTGAGAGGGAAGACATGGTAGCAAGTCCTACCATGACTGGCCGTGAGAGGGAAGACATGGTAGCAAGTTCTACTATGACGCCTTCAAGGCAACAATTATATTATTTCTAACAAAATTTGATCACAATGCCTAATAACATATTTCCTCAGTATTGCTGGAAGTAAAGCTCAACAATTTGTTTAGGAAAGTATATGCTTTGCTGCCAGTACTTGACCTGCTGTTTGCCAGTTATTGGGCACAATTAGACAGCGAAAGTGGCCATTATTGACCTGCTGCAGTGGCCAGTATTGGTCTGCTGCAGTGGCCAGTATTGGTCTGCTGCAGTGGCCAGTATTGGTCTGCTGCAGTGGCCATTATTGGTCTGCTGCAGTGGCCATTATTGACCTGCTGCAGTGGCCAGTATTGGTCTGCTGCAGTGGCCAGTATTGGTCTGCTGCAGTGGCCATTATTGACCTGCTGCAGTGGTCATTATTGGTCTGCTGCAGTGGCCAGTATTGACCTGCTGCAGTGGCCAGTATTGACCTGCTGCAGTGGCCAGTATTGACCTGCTGCAGTGGCCAGTATTGACGTGCTGCAGTGGCCAGTATTGACCTGCTGCAGTGGCCAGTATTGACCTGCTGCAGTGGCCAGTATTGACCTGCTGCAGTGGCCAGTATTGACGTGATGCTGTAGCTATATCTGGTCTAGAGCTGTTGCCATAATAACAATAAGTTTATGTTTACTCCTGCAGATGTCGCTGAGAGTCTTCACAGTGGACGCCTTTACCCCGAGGCCCTTCTCTGGCAACCCGGCAGCTGTGGTGCCTCTCCCCAAGGTCAGTTGTTTGTTGGCACTGTGTACCCCATACCCATCCTCGGCTCATCACCCATCCTGGGCCCATCACCCCATTTTGGGACCCATCACCCATCCTGGGACCCATCACCCATCCTGGGACCTATCACCCATCCTGAGCCCCATCACCCATCCTGGGCCCATCACCCATCCTGGCCCCATCACCCATCCTCTGGCTCGTGCTGGACCCCATCACCTATCCTGGGCCCCATCACCCATCCTAAGCCCTATCACCCATCCTGGGCACCATCACACATCCTGGGATCCATCACCCATCCTGGCCCCATCACCCATCCTGGGCCCCATCACCCATTCTGGGACCCATCACCCATCCTTTGCCCCATCACCCATCCTGAGCCCCGTCACCCATAATGGGCCCATCACCCATTCTGGGACCCATCACCCATCCTGGGCCCCATCACCCATCCTCGGCCCCATCACCCATCCTGGGCCCCGTCACCCATCCTGGGCCCCATCACATATCCTGGGCCCCATCACCCATCCTCGGCCCCATCACCCATCCTGGGCCCCATCACCCATCCTGAGCCCCATCACCCATCCTAGGCCCCATCACCCATCCTGGGCCCCATCACCCATTCTGGGACCCATCACCCATCCTTTGCCCCATCACCCATCCTGAGCCCCGTCACCCATAATGGGCCCATCACCCATTCTGGGACCCATCACCCATCCTGGGCCCCATCACCCATCCTCGGCCCCATCACCCATCCTGGGCCCCGTCACCCATCCTGGGCCCCATCACATATCCTGGGCCCCATCACCCATCCTCGGCCCCATCACCCATCCTGGGCCCCATCACCCATCCTGAGCCCCATCACCCATCCTAGGCCCCATCACCCATCCTGGGCCCCATCACCCATCCTGAGCCCCATCACCCATCCTCTGGTTCGAGCTGGACCCCATCACCTATCCTGGGCCCCATCACCCATCCTAAGCCCCATCACCCATCCTGGGCACCATCACACATCCTGGGATCCATCACCCATCCTGGCCCCCATCACCCATCCTGGGCCCCATCACCCATTCTGGGACCCATCACCCATCCTGGGCCCCATCACCCATCCTGAGCCCCATCACCCATCCTGGGCCCATCACCCATTCTGGAACCCATCACCCATCATGGGCCCCATCACCCATCCTCGGCCCCATCACCCATCCTGGGCCCCATCACCCATCCTAGGTCCCATCACCCATCCTGGGCCCCATCACCCATCCTGGGCCCCATCACCCATCCTGAGCCCCATCACCCATCCTAGGCCCCATCACCCATCCTGGGCCCCATCACCCATCCTGAACCCCATCACCCATCCTCTGGCTCGTGCTGGACCCCATCACCTATCCTGGGCCCCATCACCCATCCTAAGCCCCATCACCCATCCTGGGCACCATCACACATCCTGGAATCCATCACCCATCCTGGCCCCCATCACCCATCCTGAGCCCCATCACCCATCCTCTGGTTCGAGCTGGACCCCATCACCTATCCTGGGCCCCATCACCCATCCTAAGCCCCATCACCCATCCTGGGCACCATCACACATCCTGGGATCCATCACCCATCCTGGCCCCCATCACCCATCCTTGGTCCCATCACCCCTTCTGGGACCCATCACCCATCCTGGAATCCATCACCCATCCTGGGCCCCATCACCCATCCTGAACCCCATCACCCATCCTCTGGCTCGTGCTGGACCCCATCACCTATCCTGGGCCCCATCACCCATCCTAAGCCCCATCACCCATCCTGGGCACCATCACACATCCTGGAATCCATCACCCATCCTGGCCCCCATCACCCATCCTGAGCCCCATCACCCATCCTGGGCCCATTACCCATTCTGGGACCCATCACCCATCCTGGGCTCCATCACCCATCCTCGGCCCCATCACCCATCCTTGGCCCCATCACCCATCCTAGGCCCCATCACCCATCCTGGGCCCCATCACCCATCCTAGTCCCCATCACCCATCCTGGGCCCCATCACCCATCCTGGGCCCCATCACCCATCCTAGGCCCCATCACCCATCCTGGGCCCCATCACCCATCCTGAGCCCCATCACCCATCCTCTGGCTCTTGCTGGACCCCATCACCCATCCTCTGGCTCGTGCTGGACCCCCATCACCCATCTTCTGTCTCATGCTAAACCCCCATCACTCATCCACTGGCTAGTGCTGGACCCCCATCACCTATCCTCTGGCTCGTGCTAGACCCCATCATCCATCCTCTGGCTCGTGCTGGACCCCATCACCCATCCTCTGGCTCGTGCTGGACCCCATCACCCATCTTCTGTCTCATGCTTAACCCCATCACTCATCCACTGGCTATTGCTAGACCCCCATCACCTATCCTCTGGCACGTGCTAGACCCCATCATCCATCCTCTGGCTCGTACTGGACCTCATCACCCATCCTCTGGCTAGTGCTAGACACCATCACCCATCCTCTGGCTCGTGCTGGACCCCATCACCTGTCCTCTGGCTTGTGCTGAACCCCATCACCCATCTTCTGGCTCGTGCTGGACCCCATCACCCATCCTCTGGCTAGTGCTGGACCCCATCACCCATCTTCTGTCTCGTGCTGGACCCCATCCCCCATTCTCTGTCTAGTGCTGGACCCAATCACCTATTCCTTGGCTCGTTCTTGACCCCATCACCTATCCTCTGGCTCGTCCTGGACCCCATTCGCATCCTCTGGCTACTGCTGGACTTCAGCACTCATCTTTTGGCTTGTCCTGGACCCCATCACCCATCCTCTTGCTTGTGCTCGACCCCAAGAACAATAGTCTGGCTCGTGCTCGACCCCAAGAACAATAGTCTGGCTCGTGCTCGACCCCAAGAACAATAGTCTGGCTCGTGCTCGACCCCAAGAACAATAGTCTGCCTCATGCTGGACCCCATCCCCTTTCCTATGGCTCGTGCTGGTCCCCATCACCCATCTTCTGCATAGTGCTTGACTTCATCACCCATCCACTAGCTAGTGCTAGACCCCATCAACTATCCTCTGGCTCGTGATGGTCCCGATCACCCATCTTCTGGCTAGTGCTAGACACCATCACACATCCTCTGGCTAGTGCTGGACCCCATCACCCATCCTTTGGCTTGTGCTGGACCCCATCACCCATCCTCTGCCTTGTGCTGGACCCCATCACCCCATCTTCTGGCTCGTACTGAACCCCAGCACCTATCCTCTAGCAAGTGCCGGAACCCATCTCCATCATCTGACTCGTGCTGAACCTCAGCATCTGCCTTCTGGCTTGTGCTGGACCCCATCACATTTCCTCTGGCTCGTGATGGACCCCATCACCTTTCCTCTGGCTCGTGCTGAACCGCATCACCCATCTTCTGGCTCGTAGTGGACCCCATCACCCATACCTTGGTTCTTGCTGGACCCCATCACCCATCCTCTGGCTCGTGCTGGACCCTTTCACCCATCTTTTAGCTCGTGCTTGACTTCATCACCCATCCCTTGGCTAGTGCTATACCCCATCACCCTTCTTCTGGCTCGTACTGGACCCCATCACCGATTTTCTGGCTTGTCCTGGACTTCATCACCCATCCCTTGGCAAGTTCTATATCCCATCACCCATCTTCTAGCTCATGCTGAACCCCATCACCCATCCTCTGGCTCATGCTGGACCCCATCACCCATCCTCTGGTTCGTGTTAAGAACATGAGAACAAAGGTAACTGCAGAAGGACTATTGGCCCATACGAGGCAGCTCCTATTCTATAACCACCCAATCCCACTCATATACTTGTCCAACCCGCGCTTGAAACAATCGAGGGACACCACCTCCACCACGTTACACGGCAATTGGTTCCACAAATCAACAACCCTGTTACTGAACCAGTATTTACCCAAGTCTTTCCTAAATCTAAACTTATCTAATTTATACCCATTGTTTCGTGTTCTGTCTTGCGTTGATATTTTTAATACCCTATTAAGATCCCCCCTGTTATGTCCATTCATCCACTTGTAAACCTCTACCATGTCACCCCTAACTCTTCGCCTTTCCAGTGAATGCAACTTAAGCTTTGTTAATCTTTCTTCATATGAAAGATTTCTAATTTGGGGAATTAACTTAGTCATCCTACGTTGGACACGTTCAAGTGAATTTATATCCATTCTATAATACAGCGACAAAAACTGAACTGCATAATCTAAATGGGGCCTAACCAGAGCAAGATATAGCTTAAGAACCACACCAGGTGTCTTGTTACTAACACTTCGATTAATAAATCCCAGTGTCCTATTCGCCTTATTACGAACATTCATGCATTGATCATTTTGATTTAAATTCTTACTATTCATAACTCCCAGATCCCTTTCGCAATCCGACTTCGCAATCTCAACACCATCTAGCTCGTATCTTGTAACTCTATCATCATTACCTAGCCTCAGAACTTTACATTTATCAGCATTAAACTGCATTTGCCAATCATTTGACCATTTCAAAACCCTATCTAGATCAACTTGAAGTGATAGTGAGTCCTCCTCCGAATTAATTTCCCTACCGATTTTCGTATCATCGGCAAATTTGCAAATGTTGCTACTCAAACCTGAATCTAAATCATTTATATATATTATAAACAACAGAGGTCCCAGGACAGAGCCCTGAGGTACTCCACTAACAACATTATCCCACTCTGACTTAACCCCATTTATACTAACTCTCTGTTTCCTTTGGAATAGCCATGCCCTAATCCAAGTTAATATAGCACCCCCAATACCATGAGCTTCTATTTTTTTTAATTAGTCTTTCATGTGGCACTGTATCAAAAGCTTTGCTAAAGTCAAGATACACAACATCACAATCCTTACCACTATCAACTGCCTCAACTATGCTGGAATAAAAAGTTAGCAAATTTGTTAAACATGAACGGCCATTTGTAAAACCATGTTGCAACTCATTTATTAATTTATGTTTTTCAAGATGGAGACGAATTGTATTTGCAATTATTG